TGAGAGAAGTTTAAAACTATAGAGCTTTAAAATTAAAAAAAAAGTGTGTTTCGGAAATAAGTGGGAGTTTAAAACACATTCGTGTATCAAATTTTGAAATCGGACAATAAAATTGGAGTGTTTAGATGTTCCGATTTAACGAAATAAACAAACTTTTCAACGACAAAAATCATTATTTTAAATTTATCAGAAAGTGATACATTGCTTATTTGAAAATAAATACGTTATCTATTTCTGTCAAAATTAGATTCCCCACGTTAATTTTGAAACTTCTTACTATCAGAAATTTACAAAACAAGCCACCCTTTTTAATGCATCGATTTGTCCAATGAATTTTAAAACATGAAAGACGACTTTAGGTACTTCAATACAAACACTTCGATTTATTCAAAATCTACATAGCAAAGTACGCCATATAGCATTCTAGGTATACCCATAAAAAAACATTCGTACGTACGTACGTATGTACAGTGCATCTCGATAAAATGAAATAAGCTACGTATGTATCAATTTTTGTCGCATATCCAAAATTTTTGGCCGAATAACCAAAATAAACTATCAATTTTTGCCAAATAACCAAAATAAACTATCAATTTTTGCCAAATAACCAAAATAAACTATCAATTTTTGCCAAATAACCTTTTCCTGCCAAATAACCCGAATTATTTGGCAGCCCGATCATAGTAATCTGACGGATAACTATATATTATTTGACAAACCCGATATCTTATAGGTATCTGATCTTGTGAGTATCGGTTATCAGAATTATGGAACAGACATGGTGGATCAATTTTTTATCGGTTATAACAGGTTATCGGTTTGACAGGATCGGTTTTGGGAGGGTATACCGTAATATCAATCCAAAATAAATCTACCTAGGGGATGGAGCATAAAAAATGAGGCACGCAAATAAATTTCGATTTTGTATATACCTTTAATGCAAAATCTACAATTTTTACAATTTTGATACACCTGCACCTACTTTATTGATATATTTAAATATACCCTAAAACTAACCAATAATATGGCATGTTATATATTACAAGATATTACAAAAAAATTTTAAATATAACGTTAATAAAATATAAATTTTAACAAAAAAACTGAAGATTGTCTCTTCTACTTGTCCCAACCACCAAAATTAATTAATTTGAATTTTATTATTTAAATAGGGATCAATTAAATCTGAATCATTTTATGAAGTTTCAACCCAAACTTTAAGAATATCTTCAAATGTATTTTAATTTTCAGCATATCTAGCTTTTTCTTGAGACCAATAAGTTCTATTATCTGAATTTGTTCGTTATAATTATATATATAAAATAAAAAAGAACTATTATTTTAAATTTTTAAAGATACTTCTTTTTCACACCAATTCTATACCAGTAACAAATAACAGTTTTTCAAATTCATTAATTATTATTTTAAACTTTTAAAGGCATTTCTTTTCCATGCCAATTTCAAACCAATAACAAATAGTAGTTTTTCGAATTCAATAATTATTATTTTAATTTTTAAAGGCATTTCTTTTTCCAAGCCAGAAACAAACGGCAGTTTTTTGAATTCCATTGGAATTACCAGCCCTCTTTAAATGATGTTCGAAATTAAAGAAAAAACGGTTTTTCAAATTCCGTTGGAATTACCAGCCCCCTTTAAATAATGTTCTAAATTAAAGAAAAAGTGGTTTTCCAAATTCCGTTGAAATTACCAGCCCCCTTTAAATAATGTTCTAAATTAAAGAAAAAGCAGTTTTCCAAATTCCATTGAAATTACCAGCCCCCTTAAATAATATTCTAAATTAAAGAAAAAGCGGTTTTCCAAATTCCGTTGGAATTACCAGCCCCCTTTAAATAATGTTCTACATTAAAGAAAAAACAGTTTTCCAAATTCCATTGGAATTACTAGCCGCCTTTAAATGATGTTCGGCATTAAAGAAAAGGCGGTTTTCCAAATTCCATTGGAATTACCAGACCTCTTTAAATAACATTCTGCATTAAAGAATATGCAATGTTAAGCTTTTTTTTTGGTTTTTTTATCTATTATATATGCATCGAAAGCACTCATATTCATATCTCAACACCATCTCTTCCGTATCTTCCATGCAGATATGGGTTGTTCTCCACTGAAGCTTTATTTAATTCACTAATAAAACCTTTTAAAGAATATAAGAAAACCTGAACTGGCCTAAAAGTTTCGTTATACGTTATAGCTATATAACAAAGTAGAATCAGACTGTCAACAGCTATATATGGCTTTAAATTCCAGCAATATAAAGCTAGAACTTGCAAAGGTACTATTTACGATGTCAGCTATCATTCGCAAAAAAGAATAGCTATACTAAAAATTTTAAAAGAAAGGAAAAGGAGAAATATTAAAACTCCGTTTCGGAGTTTTTTCTTCAAAACCAGTAGGCCTTAAATTAAAATTCTAAAAAGATTTCATATAAGCAGCGTGCTGCTTATATGATGCTCAGAATGATTTAAATCCCAATATTGTTGTTCCAGTCTGAGATAAAACCAGAAAGAGGCGAACTAAATAAAAAAAAGTATGTTATCTACGTGCGTCAATTTAAATGTTTTGTCGGAAAGACATGCAATGATCACATGGTGCATTATGGCTCATTTTCAGCAAAACAATATTATATGCTGTATGACAAAATTCACAAATTTGGTTGGTTACCAATTTTCCTAAACCAATCATATTTGCATATTTGTTTGTGTAACTTTGTATGTACAAAAAGTTTTTAAAGAGGATGGAAAAAGGATGGGTTTGTGATGGATAAAGCCTGGTACGTTACTTTTTTGGTATAATCATTGTTATTGTTTATATATCGATATCAAGAATTAGGGTTTAGGGCACGGGCATGCCCCTCATGCCCATTCTAAATCATGAAGTAATATATAGTTCGCGAGTTCGCAACATTCTAAAAACTTCATATGGGGCGTTAGTAGAAACCAATCAAATTGTTTCTAAGTAAATTTTTTAAACATTAAGTTAAAATATCTAAACAACTATCAAACTAAACTTGATAAAAAATTTTTTATTTTACTCTATATAGTTATAGAATTAAAATAAAAAATTTTTTATCAAGTTTGGTTTAATAGTTTTTTAGATATTTTATCTTAATGTTTAAAAAAAAATTTACTTAGAAACAATTTGCTTGGTTTCTATTGACACCCCCCCCATATGTTGATTTAGTATCTAACCTTATTAACCAATCAAAGTATGCTTTATATATTACATGACAAGGGCATGCCCTTTGGCCTTGAGGCATGCCTCGCCCTAAACCCTATCAAGAATACAATTTCTGCAATATGTAGATCAATATACAAACGTATACGTGTCTGCCTTTAGCGGTCCCCTTTTTTAAGTAATATCGCACAAAAAAACTTAGGTATAATAATATTCTAACAGACACACAAACCGAAGTATTCAGAATGACGACATGAACTAGCATACATTCAGCACCTTCAGCAATCAATTGGCTCAACTGAAAATAATGTGACTATATGTTGATTTTTTGCATTTTGACTAGTGACAGTAGACAATCCTGGATTAGATTCATTAAAATCAATTCTCTAGGTTCCCGCACCAGTGTTGGACAATGACATCATATATAAATTATATGACTTATATATGAATTTGTCATATCGATATGATATCAAATAACATTAAATACAGAATTAAAATGATAACATGACAAGATTATATATCATATGAAAACAATCAAAACAATCGTGTAATAGATCATCGAGAAATTTCTACCAAATCATTGGGCCAATTGATCAAAATTATACAAATTTTTTTTCAAGGGTATGCAAAAAACTGACTCGGTCGGGTTACGTTTTCACAAATTTTGAGACAAGTGAAAAAAATTGCAAAGACAGAATCGAAAAGTTTCTGATATAGCAGAAATCCATAAATCATCGATTCAGTTATCAGCTATCCCAAAATTTATGTAACTTTGATCTTACAAACTTTTTTGGTAAAATTTCTATATAGGCTACACCTTAATTACAACTAATAAAATTTTGATAGTTTTATTTTTAAGTTACTAAAATAAAATTTCAAATAAATTTGTTCAAGGATTAGAAAAAAATAATTTTGCAATTTCAAATATTTTTTTACCAACATGTTAACACTAACAAAAAAATTAAGTGTGATCTAATTAACTTAAAAATAGTTTGAAAAAAAAACCAGCATATGAATTTTATAAATAAATATTGCTTATGCGTATGTAGAATTTTAAAAACATACCTTTAATCTATTTTTTCTTTCATTCATATTCAACTTTCATATCCCCCTTTTTGTCTCTCTTTTCATTGGTCATCCTTGCAGTTTTGGCCCCAAATTGTATAGCTCTCTTCCAAAGCATACTAGCATTGATTAACCCTAATTTTCTTGCAACGTGCCGCAACAGTAGTTTTTCACCCGTGCCTCTTGGAAACCTCATATCAGCTTTAATGTGTATTGGTAATGAACAAAGAAATGAAACAACATTGGTAGAAAGATAAGGAAACCTAGATTCTTTGGAATGTGATGTGATTACACGATCATCCCGACCTAAATTAAATAATTAAACGATATGACTAAGACATTTGTACTTATAAAAGGACGTTTATATTTGCTGATATTTGTTATGGTGGCTGTAACAAGCCTAAATAATTGTTCTTATGCGGCCCGTAACGTTAAAGTTTGGCACGTACCTAGATTCCTTGTCGATATTCTATCTACGTCCAATTGTACCTAAGATTATTAAAAAAGAGAATATATTAATGTTTATATAATAAATTTATTATAAAAGTATCAATACATATGTGGGAATTGCACTTGCCTCTTGAATCAATCTTTCCCAACTACCTTTTGTAAACGCTTCACGGTGACGTGAATATCCAGCAAGTAACTCGTCTGCACCTACTCCAATGAGTATTACTCTTGCTTTGCTTTCAAATTTTATCATTTCCTAATAATATATAAATGTTAAAAATCCTTGTTGAAACTATAAAACGATTTATAATAGACATTACCTCTGAACCATCAGGACATGAAATTTGACCTACAAATCACATCACATCAATAATTGGTCCAAAGGCAAAATATTTTAAACAAATTACAATATATACCATTGCCTCTTACAGCGAACCAAAAAGCCATTGCTATGCTCTAACTCAATTTAAATAAGTAAAATAAACATAAGCTTAAAGCTAAGCATTAAACGTTTTGAAAAACATACCAGATCCATAATTGTATCTGATGGTGACATTAATTCTAAAATTTCACCTTTACATTGACAAACTTGTTCATAAGGAACATCCACTTCAACAAAATTCCATATTCTGTTTGGTGAAATTTTCCTAATAAAGAAATAAATAATAATTACCAATATTCCTACTTCAATATAAAATTTATTTAATCAAAATACCTCAATTCTTCAACACCTTGCCGACCAGTCAATCTATCAGGAACATCGTAAATCGATTTACTTTTATCACTTTCTGCAGTCGTCTTTTTCTTTTTTCGTGACAATGTTTGTTGTATTCTAGGGTTCTCAAAACTCACATTTAATAAGTCTATAGGTTCTCCATGTGGAATATATTTATCTGCTAACGCAGCAAGACAAATACAATCTAATCCTCCAGAAAACAATATCGCCACACTAGCATCCTGTTGTCCCCTAAACTAATCAAATTATTTAATGAGGTTTATTCTATCTAATTATAATATAGACAAAGATTGTAATTACCCTATCCGTGGGATATCAAAAACACGTCGTCTCACA